CCGCACTGCCGATTTTGGATCAAAATTTAGGATTTTTAGTGCGGCTTATGGTCGTGAAAATACGGTATCTGTTTGCATTTATCATAAACAGAACCATGTTACTTCTAATACATATTTTAATAGTGAAGTAGATATTTTGATTGTTCCATATTAAATACCCAATACCCAACTTTTCTTGAAGAAACAGTATCTCTTTCATGGTTTTACTATATATAATGCATTTTCTTTCAGTCATCCTCTTTCAACATATTGCTGAAAGGTGCAATAAGTTTTAAACAAAAAAAGTAAATGTGAAGCAGATTAATGAATGAACAGTAAAGATACAAGCTAGATAATTTGCCCAGAATTTAGCTACATACTCAGTATGTAAATTACATGGAAATTTAGTTAAAACATCAGTTTCAAGTTTTGTAAAGCACCTTATGCTAAATTTCAGCTACTTATATTCACTGTTTGTTTTTGTTTTATATGCAGGGATTCCTTACAGTGAGCACAGCAGTTTCCTTGAAATGAAACAATTTATTCAATGGCTGAAACCTCAGAAAATTATTCCTACTGTAAATGTAGGAAATTGGAAAGTTAGACATGAAATGGAAAGGTATTTCAGGGACTGGAAGATGGAAGTTGCAGAATGGAATTAGGAAAGTAGGATCTTTATTACAATAATTACATGCCTTAAAGTCTGATAAATTTTTCTTCATTGTTCTTTGACTCTGATCTATATGGAAACAATGTAGATGTATAGAAACAAACATATTCTGTGTCAACAGAATATGCTGTATTTTCAGAATTTACGGCATCCATAAGAAATGAAACATGAAATCAAGTAATATAACATTATAAAGGTTTTTACATTTTTATTTATTTATTGTATTTAAAAATAAATAAACAATATGAAATATAATCTTGATAAGTGTTAAAGTGTTTTAATAATTTACAAACCAAGCATTTATAATTTCAAGATACTATATTACCTTTGGTCTCATGCCTCCTGTTGAAGCACTGGTATAATGTTTTTATTGTGTGTTGATCTAGGTTTTGCCAGCTTCCATCAATGGTTGTATCATCCACATAATTAGCAATAACTTGTCTAAACCCTGTAAGGTTAATGGCCATCAGCCTGTCTATGTGCATGGCAACACCTCCTTTCATCTTTTAATAAGCTTTAATCTTTCTGGAGTAGGAATATCTGATCACAATACAGTATTAAATAAGGATTTATACATCATACGTTTATATAAATGTGCACAACATTTTAAATCCCTGTCATCGGTTCTAGCCATTGATCAGACAAAATGCACTAGAGATTATATTTCTATGAATCTTTCCATGATCTTTCTATAAATTATTCCATTTTTTTTCATTATTTTTAGCATAGTGAAGATAGACATCATATTGCTTTTGTATTCATAAATTAAGCAACCATAATTCAGTTAATGTATACAAAAAGAAAGAGGGGGAGGGGCCTGCTATCTTTTTGATCTGCTTTTCAAGATGGTTGAAATTTAGTAAATGATTACCTTTCTGCAAGTCAGAGATTAATTACCTTTCTCATAATCACAGGACTAATAATAATAATTTATATGCTGCTGAAATTCCAATAATTCTGAGTGGATTACAAATTATTAATAACTTAAATATAAGAAAATATAAAAAACACAAAAACATAAAACAAAAGAAAAATGATAACAGAGGCAACAAACCCAGATGGGAACAAAGAAAAGAAGAAATGGGTGTCAATGCATTCTTATCAAAGAATTGGGTGAACTGCCACATCATCTGGACCTTTTAAAATGCATGGAATCATGAGTAATCTTTTAGAGATTCACATTCTGCCTGTTTTAAAAGGTGGCTGCAATTAATTTCCCAGAATTAATCAAAGATTGGTTAGTACTTAGCTGGAAATATTTCATAACTAGCAAACTAAATTTCTCAAACTTAGTTTCTTGTAAATTAGAAAAATGAGCAAAGATAGAAAGATAGACATGAATGGGACTATAAAATATATGTTTGCAATAGCAATAGCAGTTAGACTTATATACCGCTGCATAGGGCTTTCAGCCCTCTCTAAGCGGTTTACAGAATCAGCATATTGCCCCCAACAATCCGGGTCCTCATTTTACCCACCTCTGAAGGATGGAAAGCTGAGTCAACCTTGAGCAGGTGAGATTTGAACAGCCAAACTGCAGAACTGCAGTCAGCTGAAGTAGCCTGCAGTGCTGCATTTAACCACTGTGCCACCTCAGCTCTTTTAAAAGTATTGAAAAGTTGGAACAGAAACATACTGAATTATGAATAGAACCATATATTGTGAGATATATCAAAACTAAATCATATTTAATTATCTGTATTCCTTTATGTCAAAAGATGAGTCTCTGTAATTTTTTAAAAAGGGAAATAACTCCCCTCCTGTTTTCCATAAGTAATCTTTTTTTTATAGCTAAAAAAATACAGAATAGAAAAATACAATTTGATGCACTATTAATGTTTTCTTTTTGAATATTTAATTTGGAGTTTAGCACAAAGGCAGCTATTTTATCTGGACCAAAAGACTAAATACTAAACTCTTATTTATTTACCAGGACTTTTTTTTAACTAGGCTTGGAAGGTGCCAAGAATTTAATTGACAAGAGTGACATGATTCTTATGTAACTTAAGTTTTAGCTGTTAGTTACTTCACCAAAAGCTCAAAACTAGAAACATTTGAAATCTCTCTCCATGTTTTTTCCTTTGAAGCTCACATTATTAATTATAGATATGGTTCAAAATATACATTTACACAATGTGTAAATGCCTATTTGTAAAGGAGTGGGACTACAGTGCTTCTCTTGATTTAATGAACAGATAAGACCACCTGTCAGTCTGGTACTTTTCAGGTGGGCTCGACATTTCTAGTGGCTATGTTGCTAAAAATGAATGTTCAACACATCTAGAAAACATCAGATTATGGAAGATTACCAAGATAATGTGGCAAATATTCTTATCCCTTTGTTAAATTTGTTAGCTGAACATTTTCTGGAAAGCTTTATAAAACATTCTTATAAATCTCAGCATTTTGGAAATAAAACCCTCTTGTTTGAAAGTTGCTATAAAAGTTATTCTTTCAATAAGAGTATAATAAAATGACATAAAATCATATCTTAAAGTTTTTAAATTTCTGCATTGAACCTTTTATAGATGGATTTGTAATTAACCATCTGTACCAATGTATTAAATAATTAATCGTTTATAAAAAGATTACAAACTATACACAGAAGGAATCATACCATTTTCTATAGTACTTTGAACAAACTCTTGGATTTTCTATTCACAATCAATTATTTGATCTTGGTTACATTCTGACAGCAGCAATCTGTTTACATCACAATAGTTTATAATATTTTCTTATAGTATGAATACAAAAGTGCAACGCAATATGGGAACATGCTGAAGAGAAAATAAGTGTTTACAGTATCTACTCATTAATAAAAATTAATAAAAAATTGAAGACTGACTTTGTGGAATCCCACTTCTTAGATTAGATCATGTAGTCCATACTGTCACAATTTGCAATTTGTGTTTATTCATGTTGGGAGATGTCACTTAAACTGAAAGCAAGAAAAATTGTGATTATGTGAAAACATACTTCTAATGAATTCTATTACAGGCAGTAATAAAAAAAAACAATGTCTTTAAAAACTGTTAGTAACTGTTGCTCCAGCTACTAATGCTAACTATAAGTATAGAAAATGTAGCATATATTCATCCATCAAAATATCTTTTCTTTTGACAAAAATATCCCTTGAAGGCAGTTTATACGGGTTCCTGAAAATGCCTTCATGGTTGAAAAGTTCAATAAATTCTATTGAAAAATCACTTATGATTTAGCAAATGCACCTGAAAAGCCTTTTCTATTTTACATGCTTTGATCTTTTGTTTTTTATGCACTGTCATCTTTTTATCAAGACCATGATGAATACCTAGGCATGAACAAATATTTTCCACTTCATTCCTTTTACATGAGTTGCAGTATCACTGTGTTGATAGAGCAGCGCTAAAATAAGTATTTATGTAAAGCAAAATACAGGAAATATTATTCCTCTCTACTTGCTTCCAGCAAATTCCTTACAGAATCCCACAAATCTCTCAGCAGAAAGGATTCATTTGGTTTTCCAGCTAGCAAAAGATAACATAGAGAGTGAATTTTGAACTATCACTTTCCAGAAATGATATTAAAAGTTAATTTAGATGTAAAATCAATTTTATTTTCTAATTTTAATATTTTATTTTAATCATTTGACATGACAAACAACTTGGATTTTTAAAAAATGAAGTGATGAATAAGGAGGATTTTTTTGTATTGGATATAATTATGGAATGTTTTGCTTGCTTGCTTGTAAAAGAGGAATGAATAGTGTCTTGATTTACATTCTAAACATATAGGAAGCACAGCTGTTTTCTAGTCCATTGTTGGTTTCTTGATTTAACTCCCTAATAACACTGATATTAAAAGGGAGAGGGGCATTAGCAGTTTCCAAGGAGAAATTCTGGAGGACAATTTGTAGCAGCCATGCATTCATAGAAATGACAAAACGAAACTATTTTTCATTCTGTTATTAATGAAACAATTGAAACAATTATCACTGGCAGAGTATAAGATATGAGGCAGAGATAACAAAAATATTTTGAAGAACAAAAGCAGCTGGTGAAAGACAACTTAGGGAGAAGGAAGTCATGATCTAATGTGTGTTTATAATTAAATCTGCAATTCCTCATATTTCTAAGCAGGGGGGATTTGAAAAAAGATGACTGGTGCAACAGTTAAATAAAAATGAAGCTTAATTAGTTAGGAAGATGTCAGGGTGGAACATTTGCCAAGCGACAGAACAAAACAATTTCTGACATTTACATTCCTAATTAGCAGATGTTAATAATATCTCATCTTCCACTAAACTGCATTTCACTTAGGATGCATCCAAATTCAGACAAGGTTTATCTAAAAAGTTGAAACAAACTCATGTACAGGAATATAAATTCACACACACAGAAAGCCAACTCCCTCCCCTCACAGAAAATAGGTTCAAACAATGTTAGCGATATACTTCAAGGATCAGAAGCAGCAGGGATGTGCAGTCAGGGGAGGCAGGGGAGGTAGAGCCTCACCACTGTCATCATGAAAAGAAAAAAAATGTAAAAGGAAAAAGGCTGAGGTAGTTGCTGCCAGAGTCACAGTGGATGACTGCTTAGTGCTTAACTGTTTAAAAAAGCCTCTAAAAAACTACAGGTGGAGGCGGGAGAACGAGGTGCCTCATCTAGTCTGACTTTATGATCACTTGAGCAGAGCTAAGCAAGGGTTAAAAGCCGAAAAATTCCTGACGTAATGAGGCATGTCGTTCTCCTGCCTGTAGAGGGTGGTTTTTTAGAGGTTTTTTTAAACAGTTAAGCAGAGTCATCCACACGGTGACTCTGTCAGCAACTAGCTCAGCCTTCAGCTCTTGTCTTTTTCCTTTTACATTTTTTTTTCTTTTCATGATGGCAGGCAAGAGCAGAGTTGAAATCATCTCTGAAACAGCTGGAAAAGGTATGTAATTGCATGCAGAGCCATGTTGCCTTTTCAAACACACACATCTGGATAAAAGTATATAAGCCCAGCTTCACTGATTACAAGTTTGAAAAGGCAACGTGGCTCCACCTGCAATCAAAGGCTCGGATCAGAAGGCAGCAGGGGAATGGGGGTGGGGGATATAGCAGAGGAGCTGCTTTCAAGCCATTGGAAAATATATCCAATCCAACTTCTGTGTTTGTGTTTGAGATTGAGTGAGTGAGAGAGGGATCCAACTTCTCTGTGTGCGTGTGTCTGTTTGAGAGAGGGAGGAAGGAGGGGGAAGGAGAAGAAAAAGAATGATAGAAAACTTTTTCACAAAGGAGAAAAACAAATGCTGTCGCTTTAAATCGGAACTGAGCATGTCTGGCTGTGGAATTCTGGGAGTTGAAGTCCACAAGTCTAAAAAAATTGAAACCCCTGTGTCAGTGCCTCACCAGCCATAAACCACACTGCACATCACTGAGAAGCAGCATGCCACTAAAGTTTAGCTGCTATGAAATTACAGAGTTATTGCCATCCGTATCAACATAACCACTCTGGGAAGCAAGATGGTGTACATGGTTCATCTTTGACCTATTTTAAAACAGCATTTTTATAAATATATGATAAAATACAGTCCTTATAGATGCTATTAGCAGACTTTTGAACCAACATCATGTGAGATAGACCGCATCACAGCAGTCCAAATGGGAAGTGATAATAATTACTCTTTCTTTGTGGAGGAATGTAATAGACTAGAATAGACTAACACATTTGGAAGATAACTTAGAGGTCTTCTAGTCCAACCCCCTGCTCAGGCAGGAAACCCTATACCATTTCAGGCAAACCGTTGTCTAATCTCTTCTTAAAAACTGCCAGTGTTGGAGCATTCACAATTTCTGGAGGCAAGTTGTTCCACTGATTAATTGTTCTGTCAGGAAATTTCTTCTTAGTTCTAGGTTGTTTCTCTCCTTGATTAGTTTCCATCCATTGCTTCTTGTCCAGCCCTCAGGTGCTTTGGAGAGTAGCTTGACACCTTCTTGATTCTTCTTTGTGGCTTGACTCCCTCTTCTTTGTGGCAATCCCTGAGGTAATCCCATTCAGGATCACATTTGTGAATTTCCAAAGTTAGAGCACTCATAGCCACCTATCTTGCTAGAGATAATCCAAAACATGTGACATTTTTCTTTTTATCATTGAAAGTGACAGTTGTTTTTAACATCCATGCTTTTCTTGACCATTTCCTACTCCCAAGTCAGTTTTCATACTTTTGGTGGTAGACTGTGCTTTGACTGCTATTGATACTGCCTTCCCCTTAGTCTGCTGACCTCAAAGTTAACATAGCAGAAATTTCACTTAATTTTAAAATAAAATTTACTTTGACTTAATCTTGGCAAGCCAATGGATTAATCAGATGTTCTTGGGACATGCAGTTCATGAGGACACAAATACTTCTGTCCCTATTTCACCAATCATATACAATGATTGAATTTGGCTATGTCTCATAGTTTTAAATATCCATTACTAATAGAGCTTTGCTATACTAATTTTGCTGGATTGTTGATGCAGTGTCTTCTGGTCTGTAGAATCCAGATTTATCAGATTAATATTGGAAGGCCATGTGTCAATTTGTCTGTTGTTTTCTCCTGAACATCTCTGGCTATAATGAAGAAGTGCTCATCCTAAAGTGTAGCTTACAAATTTGAGAAAAAACAGTAAAAGTGAAGATGAAGAATGACAAAATTGGCTGTGGATTTATATTTCTTTTAAAAATACATTTTATTGAGTTTTGCAAACAGTATAAATAATGACATGTGAGAAAAGAACTTTTAATTCTCATTTAAAACTATAAGCTATGTACCGTATTTAGAAATTAAGCAATACAAACTAAGAAGGAAAATAAAATTAGAAAGAAACATATCTAGAAGAAAGTGAACAGTAAAAATAAGGGAAAGTCATTGTGCAACATGCACTGTACAATTAACCTTGCATATGTTTCTCTGATATCAAACTGATTTTATATCTGTTCACATGGTTACAGTTCAGTTTTTAGACCATGAATTAATCCTATACCATATCAATCATACTTGATCTTATCTTTTGATTAACACAAAACCAATCCAAATGTCAAGAACCATCATATTTCATTTCAAAACTGGAGACACATGAATCCTTCCTGACATAAATAATGACCTCTTTGGCAGCAGTCACAATTCACCTAAAGATCATTATAAATTAAAATAATTCCAGATTTTTAGAATATAATTAATAATACATGGAGATCCGTTAACCTTAATTTCATTACAAGAACCCCGTTCACATTTATCTGCAGCATAAAAAGATAAATCTGTTGAAGTACCCAATATACTTGAAAAAGAATTAGATCAATTAAATGAATCACATTTAACATTTCTTAGAATTCAAGACCATTGATTTTGCAATATGGGATATTCAAGTTTCCTATTCAGTAAGTTTTTGAAAACAATGATCTGAGAAGCAGAATGAACTTGCAGAGATCAATTGGCAGATGGGCGAAATTATCAATTGTCGCTGAGCTCACCTTTTCATTGATTTCCTTCTACAAATAGGATAACAAGCCAGTGAAACCACAACAAAGTAAATCTGATTGTGCGCTGGCTGATTGCTAAGTACATGAAAAAGATATAGTCTTATAATATACTTACACTGTTCTTTTATGCCATTATGGACACTTGCATCCTGGAACATGCAAAATCTCTGAATTTGGGAGTCGTTTTATTGTCAATTTTACCTTGGGGGCAAAAAAAAGTAGGAAAGGTGATTTACTGTTATATCTTACAGTTTATCTTGTTCTTTTTGGAGTTAGTAAGATAATAAACAATTTTTCAGAACAAAACTACGAATCAGCATGCATTTCTATAATAAACACTGGAGATGAGAAATGTATACAATTCTGATGATTTAGGACTGCAGCAGCAATGAATTTTCTTGCCAGACAGTTTTATGAAGTTGTATATCATTAGCATCTTGATGGAACCCATGAAAAATATATATTGGCAACAAAGTCCTGAAATGAATAATTTCAGCAAATATTTTTGATGTTAAGATACAGAAAAGTAGATGAAGAAAAAGCTAGGAATTACCACTGCAATAACAATGAGCTTAATTCTCTGTCAGGGTGATTTTAAAACGGTGATAAATTCATCTTACAATTTGTGGGATGACGGGAAGGAATGTTAGCTTGTTCCTTGATACAAACAGAAACAAATCATAGGCCAGCCCTGCTGCTTGAGATTTCTCTCTAGTTTTAAAAAACAATAAATTTCAATTTGCTGATCTTCCTCAACAGGAGTTAGAATATTCTGGATATTTCACAAAACCTGTTTATGTGATATTGCTGATAATAGTGGTGTATTGAAAAAGATTTAAGTTATTAAAAGGAACTAGTGTGACAAAAAGAAACCCTTTTAGTTTTTACTATCCTTGTTCATCGTCACTTTATTTCTAAGGTCAGGCTTAAGTTTAAAAAGGGATCCTATGGCTAATGAAACCAAGCTGGGGAGGTGAATGGGGAGAGATGGGTGATACATGATCACGTACCATCTGGCTGGATATTTATAATTGTGGATTAGCAATTTATAAGTGGATAGATGGGGCAAAATATTGAATGATAATTTTGTGTAAAAATCTTTTATTGCTTAGTGCTAAGCTTTAACTCAATTGCTATTACTTACCTCATTTCTTGTGGATCTACTTATGAACCAAAAGATTTCATCCATATCTTTGATTTGCAAATCATTCACAGCCACTATATAATCTCCTTGATGAAATATGCATCCTAAATGATACGGATCTTTCCAATGAGAAATGCTGCAGTAAATTAGAGAAGGGGCAAACAGTAGACATTTTAGATTTCTTATCTAACCCAATCTGGAAATGAACAGAGAAAACCACCTTACACCATAGTTTTAAGGCTACATTCCCTTACTGTCGTCAAATTTTGTTGAAGTTGGTCATGTTGATTTTTCATTGCCCAGCACATCTGTCAGGCTGGCATTAAAAATGTTAGAAAATGGAATGAATCCGAGAACTGTTCATTTATTAGGACCAGGAAGAGCAATTAATTAAAAATAAAATTGTCTGCAAGTGGGGAGTGGAAGGCTATTACTATATTAAAATATTCCACACCAAGCTATTATACAGTCATATACCAACTCTCCTGTGATCTGAATATCTTGCAGCACACTATACTTCAATAGGTTCCAAAAATTAGTAGCAGAAAAGAGAACTTGATGATCAATAAATGAACCCTGAAAAGGATTTACTTTCATGTGTGTGCGTGTGCGTGCGTGCATGCGTGCGCATGTGCGTGTTATTAAAATAGGTTTGTCAGTCTAAGAACAAACATTAAAAAAATTGTTATGCAAAGATTTAAAATAATTATGGACCTAGAAGTTGATTTCTATTTTATATCAATTAATTAATTAATTGATAAGCTTGTAGCTGTAATTTTGTAATTTTGTTTGTAGCTCATAAAATTTCTTATTTCATTTTGTTATTAACTGATATCTGGAGGTGGTTGCTGGACTGATGAAAGATTCCACCTCCCCTCCCCCCGCTCTGCCCTGTCCATCTTTTTGGTTAGCGTATTGATGTATTCTCCTTGTGTTCTTTTCTATTGTTTATTTTATTTATCTATTGTTTTATTTCTATTCTGCTTACACTCTTTCATTTTCTTCCTTTTTATTATTGTAAACTGTCTGGAACATCATACATAGCTTTCTGAATTACTGCAAAGAGTATCAGGTATTAAACCTCATATTAGCCCTGTGAGGTAGACAAAATTAGGAAACATGCTCCTCAAGAAATGCTGAAATTCTACTATGCTGATGTAGATGCTGACTGGGGAATTCTGGGAATTGAAGTCCATGTACTGTATCTTAAAGTTCTTCAGGCTGAAAATAGGGATTGAAGGCCTGACAGTGTTTTTCCTTTCCTAGTTTTTATATCTAAGAAAGTCAGGGCAGGGTCACGTTCAATTTCTTTATAACAACTTCCTTTTTCTGTTCTTAATACATGTTATGCTAACTACCACAATCCTAATGGCAGTAATCCTCTGAAGCCTGCTACCAATTCAGTTAGTCTGCTACTGAGTGTGCCCTTTGCGTGCACATGCGCACCTGAGACACACCCGTGCAGCACTAAAAAAGGAACATTTTGAAGCCTTCCAAGTCTGCAAAGGTAAGTAAAACAGCGAGGGGGGGAGGGATCTGCTATGCCACGTGATTTAGATTAGCTAGAAAGCAGGAAATCCGACAATTCTAGCTAATATAAATTGTGCATCATAGCTGATCGTTGCCCAGCTGATCGGTGAAAATACCAGTTTGCCCAAACTGGTAGCATTTTTTACTACTGATTCAGGCAAACCGGTCCAAACAACTATCATTTCACCCCTGCCTAATGGAAAACTTTGGATATTATTAATCTCCTTTCCACTTTATTTCTTGGATCCTTCCTTCTTTTGCCAGTCCCTAATATGATGGGCCAGTCATTGATACCGAGAGGTCAACACAAGGTGGGCGGGGAAAGGGATATTCTTCAACATCCAAGTCTTCAATAAGAAACGTATGATTTCCCATTTGGTTTGAAAAGAAAAGAAAATAGATAAAACACGTGATACTAGAAGCTGCCATTTGGTTTGTAGCTCATTACATTTCTTATTTCATTTTGTTATTAACTGATATCTGGAGGTGGCTGCTGGATGGCAAATAAATTTAACAAATAAATAAATGAATGACATATACATTATTAGTTATTAATCAGGTGTAACATGGCAGTCTATGAATGATTAGACTCTAAAGTTGTAGGATGTTGATAGTTTTAGTGATACATTTTTCCCCAGTCCCCTAATTTGATGAAATTAAGCAAGCAATGCAATGTTAAGAAGTTAATAGTTAAGAAGAAACCTGTTACGTAATGTCTTCATAATTTGGAGAAAGATTGTGGTAGAGAAAGTGTGACACCTTGTGGTTTACCAAGGCAGTAGTACTTTAAAAACTTGCCAGGTTTTTTTTGTTTTTTTATTTCATCCTGGGTGTCTATTGTGGGAGTAATGACCATCCCCATGTTAGGCCTCTGGCATTATTTTCCGCCAGATGAATTTGCTTTAATACTGATGCTAAGATACTCAAGAACAATAGTTCAGTCAGCCTGGACTGCACAGCTCTGTCCACCAATTTGGCCTCTTCGTATGTATGTTCTCCTTGAGGCAAACACCTCAATTTCCTTTTACTAGTATCAATTCTGATGTTATGAGATATAAATATAAAAAATATTTACTTCATATTTATATTGCATTGTCTTCAAAGTTTAAAGGGAAACATTTTTGCATTTGAACAACTGTTTTCACATGTATTCCAAGTTACTTTTTGATGGCTAGAAAGATCTGTGAAATCTATTATAGATTTCTAAGATCCACCAAATGGTAGCTGGAGACATTATGATAACTATGAAAGAGAATGCACCTGCATATATTTTTAATCCTGACATTTCTTTTCAGCACAAGATTTGAGTGCATAGACTTGATGCTTAAAGTTATACATCTTAATTTCCATATCTACACAACAGCTTCATGAAAAGGCTTCATTTTACAGAGATAAACATTCCAGTATTCCAATGTCCTTTGGCAGGATTTCAGTGTTTATCTTTGTTTTCAGGGTGTGGGGAAAGCTCTTTTTGTGAATTTATTTCACTTTGTTTCAATGCTTCTTAAAGTAATAATGATGCACTACAGTGGTGGGTTCCGGTGGGTTCCGGATCCCGTTCAAACCGGTATGGTTGGAAAGGGCCCGGCGTTGCCCACATGGATGCGCCCAGTGTGCACACACACGCATGCACCATGTCCATGCGTAGTACCTGCCAGCAATGCCTCTGCAAGCCTCCGTGACACTCCAGCTGCTCGGTTGAGCATTGCGCAGGCACTGTGTGCACCATGCACAAGTGCAGAAGCACCGAAGGCTTTAAAGAACAGGTATGGAGCTCGGGTGGGCAGGTGGGCCTTCCAGAGCACCGTACCGGAACGGTACCTGGTGCTCCGGGCAGGCTCCGGTATGCCCATAGCAGGGCGTACCTCCTGCAATCCATCACTGATGCCCTGTTGATTAATTACATTCATCTTGCCATGATTTGCTGCAGGTATATAATCAGTCTGAGATCAGATCCACAAATCTATTTCATTTCGAGCTTTGTTCCTTTGCTTCTTATAAAATTTATTTCTATTTTCTCCCCTTTCAGAGACTTAGAATCTATGCCTAGATAAGTGTATGATAAATGTAATAAATAACTATGTTAAAAAGCATGAAATCTTACAATTTTAAAATAAATAAAGGCCATAAAATTAACTTATAAATAGATGTTCAAATTAAAAGAATTAAGAATTAATTAAAGAATTAAAATGAAAAAGCTACTTCATGACTTTAAAAAAATTTTTATAAGGTTCTTTTGCAAAACTCTACAGAAAGACTTGAAATATTTTTTGTAATGTGAGGACTATCTAATAAAATTAATTGTTTTTAGTTAATGAAGTTAAAGTTTCAACAAACAGTGAGTTCCTGACTGGCCTTTTTTGGACTTGAAAATTAAATTAGGCTGGATTATGGAAAAGACACATCAAAGGAGTACCAGTCCTGTAGGACTGAGAAGTTGACTGAAAAATACCTTGAAGGATGACAGTTATAAACTCTTTCATAATATTGCCAAAAAACTGTAGTGTAGATTTGTACATAATTCACCAAAAGTTGGATTTACTTTGAAAGTGACTTTGCTACATTTAATAGTTAACCAACTGCACATTAATTAGTTGGAGCTGTCTCTTGTGAAAGAATATTTGATGATGAGAAGATGGCATTACTAAAAATAACCCATGCATTTATTTTGGGCTGACAGAATATTAATTAAGATAAAGCAATATATTTGGTTAAGCCAGCAGGAATCTTTGTTGAGAAACTGTAATTTGAATTCGATCTGATTCATTTTAAGAAAGCGAGTAGTTAACACATTCCCCACCTCCCAAAGCAATTCAGCTGATTGTTTTTTAGAAGTTTAAATAATAAATACAGTAAATAATAAAATATAAATTAAAGACTTTACCATATACGTCCAGAAGCTTTTACAAATGTTAAGTAGGAAATAAATTTATTCTGGGGAAGGAGAATATCCACCTGCTCCAACTGATTATCATCTGTGATTTCACTAAAAGAGAGGATGAAATCCAGAATATAAAACTGTCTGATCATAACATATACCATTTCAAACTATTGCTATTCATACTAATTCTTAAGATATAACATATACTGTAAGCAATAGCAAGATATATAGCTGTCTAGATTGGACTGAGAAACATCTAGCCAAATATGGTTCAAATCTGCAGCAAGCAGATTTGAATAATCCTTTAATTTTGCATATAGTTGGATTTTCACCCCCTCCCATATAATTATATTTTTTATTTAAAATTCTATCTTTCCAAATTCCAATTCCAGCATTAATATCTTTTCTCCTCTTGGATATGGCAGGAGTACAGGATTCTGTCAAACCAAATACAGATATACAATTGCATGTCACAACCAAAGAAAAGGCATTCAGTAAGAAGGAAAAATTGGGCCATTTTATTTCTCTCCTACCTCTCTTAATATGTAAATAAAGGAACAAATTTATGCTTTGGTGAATTCATTGAATAAGATGATGGAGAGATAAAGTTAAACATTATTTCCTGGTTCACCCAATGGAACAACATGCTAACTTAATTTTTTTGTTTATTAGCTACCAATGTGATGTTTATCTATTTAAGAGTTGGAACAATTTGACAAGGTTTCCTTTTAGATCTCAACATTTTACCACCATGAAGGAAATAACTATTCAAAAGAAATTCTTACCTGAGAATAATGGACAATTGAACCACTGATATATAGACGACTTTGGATGTTTTCCCCAATATTCTTTGTAATGGCCTTGGTTCATGTTGACTATTTTCTGCCACTTGTATATCCATCTGATTTGGGGGAAGGATCACTAATTCATTATTGACATCTTTTGGCTTTATTTTATCTTCCACCTTTTCTGAAACCCTGAGGGACAGATTATATTAACCTTAAAAGACATTTATCAATCCGTTCCTAAAAATTCTTAACCTCTGGATAATCACCTGAAGAACCACACTTGAATGAAAGCAGATCATGTAAAATTAAAAACAAATGTAGGATAATTCTGGGAAAGTTTAACTAAAAAATGTGATTGTTTACTCATTGGCCCCATGGGCGTCATGAATTTCTAAAGTCAGTCTTTTGTCATGTATTGAAACTACATTAAGGGAGTGTTTGTAAATAAACTTACTTAGATTGCATTGTTCTGCTTTGTGTCCCCCCCCCTCAAAATTGAATTTCTTCCTGAATTTTTCTTTTTCTGCACCTTCACATATTTAGAAATCCAGATTTTTATTTGCTTCTTGTTCTAACTCAAATAATTATGGGTGATTCCATATTTGGACAGTCAGATATACCTTTAATCAGTGTTGAATCCTGGCAACTTCCAGATTACTTCAAATATTGTTATTAATAAATGCTATGTTAGACCATACAGCAAAATATCAAGGTCACATACTTCTTTTCTTGTTTGGCTATTTTATTAGCAGGTTTTCCTTAAGCACAGCTTGATATGTCATTCTCATCAACAATATAGTCAGCATTAAATACAGATTATTTTAAAAAGCCTACCTGAAATCCACTGGTTGTATTTAACTCTGATTTGATGTGAATTTGGCCACTGTGTTATTTACAATTGGCTTATGTACAGGCATAGCAAAATAAAACAAAGTGTGTAACCAGTGCAGAAATAGAATAGCAGTATATTTCTTTAGAAACTTATTGATCATGAGTTAAATATGTGATCAATATGCAATTAGAATTATTGATGATAATTAGTATAATTCCAACTGTGCTAGTATTAATATTAGAATTAGATTTTACTTTTAGTACTGGTCTCCAATCTTACATCAGTTTGAATTCAGGAGATATATAGTTAACGTAATATTTATATGCTGATAGTCCTTTTGAAATAGAATTGTACATCAGCAGGACTGAATGTACATTTTCTGATGCAATAAAGATTAATTTAAAATAGAAAGAACAGAGATGAGGAACACAGGAGCCGAAACTGAGCCCTGGAATTTTCCCCTACAGTCCAAATCTTCTTCCTCCTCTAAACCTTTGACCTATCTCCCCAGCCCTTATGCTTTTAGAATTCTCATTCTCTCTTCTTTCCCAATTATTTGCAATGAGCAATTAAGAGAGCAAATCATTCACAATATTTCTGAGCAGGGAGGGGGATTAATTTCAGCACAAGAAGAGAACCCAGAACGAAGTGCATTGTGCCATTTTTAGGGACAAAAGACCAGAATGAGACGCCTCAGCATGACCAACTGTAGCAGCCAGTTCCGGGCAACTCTTGCCACCACCAAGTTGCCTCTGCCAACTCACTGCTGCCAAATCATTACAGGACAACTCAACATGGGCAATTTATTGCAAGGACTACTTGCTGCAGACACTTGGGACAACTTGACGCGAGTGCCAGATGGAACTGGGTAAGTGGGCAGATGAGTGAGTGATGAATGAGGAGAGCCAGGTGGGTGGGCAGATGATTGGGTGGACACTTTCCTGCCCGGCTGTCCATCTGGACACCAACAACGAGTTTCCCCCACAGTGAATGGCCCAGGTTGAGTTGTTCTGAAACAATCTGGCAGCAGTGTGTTGGCAAAGGCAACTTGGCGGTGGCAAAGGGGCTGCCCCTATCTGTACTCCACAGCTGGCTGCCCCAAGTTCAAAACAGCTATGTTCTTTTAAAGAACAGCAGGAATCAAGCACTTCCAGTAAAACTACTTGATATGTGCTATACAATAAAGGATTGGATTTTCTGTCATCTATTGTCATTCTGGTTTTGAAGCCAACTCTGGTGGTCTTACCTACACCGTGCATAATCAGGAGAAGTTTTAACTTCACACGAAAAGCTATTCAATGGAAAGAAAGTTATAAAAGAAATGCATAACATTTGTTTCAGGAGAGAAACAACTTATTGCTAGTATACTTACAAATCTTTCATGGACATGTATTCTTTAGTGCTACTAGGCTTTTCATTGTCTGAGATGGTAGATTCTCCCAGAGTGTTAAATTCATCAATCACCTCATCCAACTTTGAAAATAAATGATATCAATTAATAAATGTGTGTCTTATACGCTTTTTGTATACAAATGTCATCAACTAAACTTAACAGTTTCTAGATTTGGAGTCTGCTATTGTGGGAATATTAATACAGTCTCTATGTCATGCCCCCAAGAACTGACAGAGATGGAGAAGCTGTCTCCGTTGGCCTTGGAGGAAAATGGGGAAGGACAGAGTCAGTCCAGGCAAAGCTTTTCTGAATTAGTAAACCCTGCAGACAGGGAAAGTTCAGGAGAAGAGCAAGGACTACCCCCTCCTGATCGAAGAACAAGGAGGGAAGAAAAATGGTGAGATCAATGCAGATTGAGCTGGCTACGAGGGAGTAGAGTGCCCCACTCCCTTTCACAAGGCACATCTGGGGACTAAGATGTAAGGAGGTGCCGGTGGGAGGGGCATTTGTTGTAAACAAGCGCTGAATCTGTGGACTCTTGTGTGCACTTGCCAAAGCCTGGATATCCTACTCTGTCTTGTGGGGTTTGCCTGCTTTGCTGAACTTCTTACTCTGGTTACTGTTTAGCTAACCTGGCTTATAATTGGACTACTGGCCCTGATTAATGTTTGGTTAACCTATCTTACTGCTCTATTTGCAGCCAGAGGCTTCTGAAGGTGCATGTTAGAGCTGTGGTCCAGACATTATGGTGCACATAATGCTTAAATTTTCTGAGATTATGTTAAATATGTATTAACATGAGATGTATTGGAGAGTAAGAATCTATACTTTGGGTGCTAAAAGAGATCTATTTCTTTCTCTCTCTCTCTCTCTCTCTCTCTCTCTCTCTCTCTCTCTTTCTCTCTCTCTCTCTCTCACACACACACACACAGAGACGCACACAAATACACACACACACACTTGTATGTGTGCATGTGTAAATAAATACAACGTTAAATGCTGTATTTATTTATGCAAATATCTGTATTGTGCTTACTCCATGGCTAGTCTAATCGATAAATGGGAAAGCATGCCATTCTGCTTACCTGAGCTAAAAGACTTGTTGGAGAAGCATAATATTCTTCTTTGTCTTTTTCTTCCTGTTCTTCAACAGGAATATTTGTCAGTTGCCTCTGAAACAATAATTTAATTATTCTTTACTCAATAACATTTGAAAAGATAAAATAAATATTAGCTACAAAATAGAACTGTGCGGTTCCTATTTATTCCTTATTAGAAAATCAGAAATGAAGTTCAGAAAATGGAGGTAACTTATTAAAATATATTTATATGTTAAATTGTGGAAAAACAAAGCCAAATTAAAACCCGTCTCTGCCAGTTGATATAATTTGTCTATTAATTACAGTAATAAGAGCTGTTGATATAATTGTAAAAGACAGTACATGGTAAAATGCTCAGATACCTACTGAACATTATCAAGCTAATGCATATATCCCATATACATATATTTTGTATAAATAGTCTGGTCAAAAGGCAAAACACTTGCCTACTGCATTGTTTTACTAATCATTCATTCATCAATACTAACTATCAAATATCACTATATTTGGAGCTTCACAAGAGTAAAAAGAACCAGAAATAAAGTAACAATTGGTGGTTGGTTGGTTGGTTGGTTGGTTGATAGGTAGGTAGGTAGGTAGGTAGGTAGGT